CACCCCTGCTGCAAGCCAGGGCAGACTGCAGTGGGGCAATTCTGCAACCCAGAAACGCCAGAAAACGAGAGACGGGAACCAGTGCTGCGGGGACAAGGAGCACCACTGGCTTTGCTTTGATCTGGCAGTCAAAAAGACTGCAACGGTCAATGGAGAAGAGCTTGTCCCGAGTCCTGCTGCCGCTGCTCCCCAGAGGTGACAAGTGCCCCTTGGCTTGTCCTGTCTGCCAGGAAGTCGGGATCTTTGCTCTGCTAGCGCTTCCCTTCTAGGGATTCATTGGAAAACCAGAAGGTGCATGAGGTTCATTCCTACCGAATGGCACAGGCTTAGGATTGTTTCTGTTCTGATGCATTTGGGTGCCACACATAGATTTCCATTGATATCAGCATTACATTAATACCTAACGTTATAAAGAGAATCAATCTGCTCCGAAGACACGATAGGCTATTTTAATTGAACAATATGTATAGTTTCAATCTGAATGTAAATGATCAGTCATGATTGTCCACATTAAATAGTCTTTTTTTGTTGCACACTCTTTTCTTTCCAACGGAGAAACAGATACTCTTAAAACAGAATGACATCTTTTGGTGCACTTTCAATGGGTCTTTCCTGCTCTTTCTTCTTATAATACCTGGCGTGGTCATAGAAAAATATGATGATGATAGTAGAAATGTTCAAAAAAATGATAAGCAGCATGATCCAATATGAGTATCCATAATTATTTTTTGATTTAGTATATGTCATTGGAACAGAAAAACATCCCTCAGCTAATTCCACCGAGAGGCCATTGCTTTCTATGTTCACTGCAAAAAGTATCAGGACCAGAAGTGTGAGGATTCCTGGAAAATATAAATATAAATGTTAAAGGTGGAATTGTAGTATTGTTTATGTAGCTACCTGTAAGTAAAAGTATTCCATTGAAATCAGTTGGAATGCCTGGACTAGAACAAAGATGAATCTTTAAGGAATCTGAAGGCATTAATAAAATACGAATGTACTTAAAGAATGTATTTTGTCCCATCTAACAGTATCTAGTGTATGTTGTGACCCAGGTTACTACTACTATTGTCCTGCTAAAATTAGTGCATTCTTAGATACCTTTCTTAGATAAGGCTATTTAACGTAACTTCTTTTTGTTGATCTCGGTGCTGCTGTGTATAATATATTCTGCCCTTAGGTGACTTGCAGGATGTCTATTTGATATGAGGCCAAATTTGTGGGCTATGCGGTCTCACAGCCACCTAAAACCCTGAGCAAATCTGCTCTGCACTGAGTGTTGACCCTGCTCTGAGCAGGAGGCTGCACTAGAGACCTGAGGTCCAGCCTGAACTATTCAATGACTCTGATCAGTCAAAATGAGATGTCCTCCTGGATCCGTATCTATTCCCCACAGCATGCTGCATGTAGGGGGAGTCCGACTTTGAGATTTAACAAAATAATGCTTTTACGTGTTTTCATAGTGCTAACAGAGGTATAATCGTTGTACGTTGGTGAAAATATTTCTCTTCCTTCCCCCCCATGTATACTGTCCTACAGTAATTCCTGCTGAAATAGGTTCAGGTTTTTGCAAGGAGGACTCTGTGGCACTTCCAGCTCTCTAGTGCAAAAGTTAAGAACCTTCAAGATACAGCCACACATCAAACGATGTATAATTTCTCCATGGAAACCTGCCCCTGATTAAATAAACCCCTGGGTCAGAGCACTTATGGGGCTGCAAAAAGAAAATGCAATACTTGGTCGACACGTGGGCTCTCCTTTCTCACTAATGCTTTCCTTTCCAAGTATTTGGTCCTCTCTTTCTCGTTCAGAGGTTGCGGTTTGGGATTCCCCTGGACCCGGGCTGGCTTCTGAGGTGGCTTCAAGGTGAAGCAAGTCCCAGATGTTGCAGGGGAGCAGCCTTGTGCTTCTGAAGGACAAGGCACCAGTTCTGAAGTACTCGGCCATCGGGTATCTTTGAAGCACGTTTCCTGAGTGCAAGCCTAGCATTAGAGGAAAGCGTAGTCCTCTCGAGACAATTGAAGCACGAGCGCTGGAGTCCTTACGGCGGCGAGATGTCGAGGGCGGCAAGGTGCACTTGGAGAAGCCAGGTGCAAGCCTCGCGGGTGGAGGTGGGGTTGTACCCATCTCACAGCTCAGTGCCCACCCCCCCAATTTTTCTGTTTGGGGAATGTTGAGACTTATTTTGATCTGTGCAAGTGCTTTCTCAGAGAAGGAAATAAATTTTACCATGGTTCAGTCTCTCTTACGTGCCTCCCCCTTTTCTGGTGTAAATGTTATTTTAGATGTGTTTGATTCAATGCATGTTTTCAGACATGAGGAAATGGGTCTAAGCCTCCATCCTGTAGATTAGACCTTAAAGGCCAGATGTGGTAAGTAGGTAACCTAGGACCACAAGACTACAAATACCACAAAATAGCAATATTTTGAATAGCGATGTAGATTCTCAAAAAGCTTAAAATATGCCCTGCGGTCACATCTAACACATACGTTTTTCTGTTCTAATTCTGTAGTTTGTCAGCTTATTCTGCTCTTCTTGATGGGCAGCGTCATGCATTAAATGATTTTTACATCTGTTGGGGCTTTTTCCCTTCTGTTTTTGCTGACCGTGAATCCCAGTTCTTGCTGATGAATGACTTCACTTCAGGTAACGAATACTCTTTTACCTGTACTTAAAAGGCAGTTCTCGGATATCCCAGCAGACATGATTTTAAAAACCTAACCAGCTGAAAGCAGACCGCTTTTCCAACTGTTTCCTTTTTGCAAATCTTTATTTCTTAATCTGGGAATCCAGGAGAACGTCGTATTCCTGCGTGTGGCAGGCAGACGGTTGACGGCGAGCGTGCCCAGGGTGACCGAGGGATGAGGGATCCTGCTGTGGGGCTCGTCCTCTTATCGTTGAACATCCAACGCTAAGTGGTCAACAGAGAGAGAGGGCTACATCCAGGACTCGATGTGTCCTAACTTGGACTCCTGTTCTGGAAGGAAATGAGTCGTGCCTTACAAGCGCCTCGCTCCCTCTGCTAAGAGGGTCTGGTTCAGCTGGTCTTGTAAAGACGTCAGAGTCTGATCACGTGAACCCTGTCCTAAAGGATCGCCTTCTCTTAGGGACAGAACGGAAAGGTGTGAAAAAGCATAGGTTAGCTGGTGCGCGCAGCTGTGCATATACACCTTGCTCTCTGTGCTGCTCCGCCAAGCTGGTTTACACAAAAATCGAGCGGGCTATGCCCAAAGTGGTGACTCACCGTTCAAGGAGTTCCAGGTGTAGATGCCGATGGGCCCCAGGAAGGTCTGGTAGGGATTGCTCACAGCGTTCGTGCCCGTAAACCCAGAGCTCAGAAGGGAGCTCAGCAAAGCGAGAACCAGGAGCACGATAACCGCAATGTTGGTGCTTTTTGTCTCAGCGGTTTTCAGGTGATCTGCGACTGGAGGAGAGTGGCTCCGCGTTAATCGTTAACGCAGTCCGGCGGGCTCGCTGGGCTGCCTTATGAGGACAGATTAAACGCCTGGTGTGCTCCAGCGTGCTTGCCTAGCTCGTGCTCGGGGATAGCGAGCTCACTGGAAATGAAAACTAGTAACAGGAGATTTGGCATGGTCACGTGCAGACAAACGAATCAGGCCGGGCTGGCGACCGGACCAGTACTTGTATCCTGAATAAATTTGTCCCTAGCCACATCATACAGAAGAAAAAAGAAAAATTGGTGGAGATGGTGCTTCCTCCCCTCTTTTAAAAGGAAGGAGCCTGGATGCTGCTATGGAGGCCACGGGTGGCCGAGCCGGGCGTCTGTGCCTGCAGCATCCCGGCACCTTTCCTTTCTGGTCCAGCGCACTGCAACGCGTACGCGTGGACTGCTGTCTCTGGTGGGGTTTCTGTAGCTGCAGCACGTACCCTTGGCACGCACAGCCAACCCCTCCAGCACTGTAATCAGGTTTCTTGTTTTTGCCTCTAATTATTTGCTATGTTTTTGGTGCCAAGAGACACAAACGTGAATGCAGTATACTCAAAAAGTAATTGCAGTACAGTTGCACTGAAATATTTTATTCTCTCTCTTTCAATTTAAGCCTCAGTTTAAAAAAGAAAAGGGGAGGGCAATCGTAATGCTCCTGTGGCTGCCTTACCCTTAACCTGTAACAAATACGACAGTGCTCTCGTGCTCTGTGCAAACAGGCGCTGGGACAGGCAGCCCCATGCAAGGAAAAGCTCCTTTCTGTGCTGCTTCTAGTGCAAGGCCATTACTGCAGACTTGTCCGTGCATAAATTGGAGAAATCATAGCAGTAAAAATAACAACACCACAAATAATAAACACCTTAAAAAAAAAAAAAGAAAATAAGCGCTCATAACCAAAGAAAAATTGGAAATACTGGAAATCAATGAGGAGAGCTTCTCTCTCGTTTTGTGTATTGTTCTTGGGAAATGGAGAAGCCTGATATAAGTTACCTTCTGTTCTAGCAAATGGCAGGTGAGGATGTGTTTTTATAAAATCAGGTGCAAATTTAGGGAAGTTAGGCATTTGGAGACAGCACTAAGGTAAATGGGAGCAAGCCCAGCCCCAGCTGTACTGTGCCCTTGCTCTAAAGCAGCCTTTGCGCTCAGGCGTTGCCCGGGAAGGAGGCCGCGTTCGAAAGAGACGGTTTCTCCCTGGCAGCCTTCCTTGATTTTATCACTCTGAACATCTCCAGAATTTACTGGGTGGCTGCACCTATTGCACCCCCTAACGGACCGACCGGCTTTGTTTAGCTCTGGTAGAGGTCCCAAACTCAGGGCAGTGATTTTTGTCAGTCTCCCCTTGCTGTAAGCAACAGTACGAGGCCTTTCTGAAGGTTTAAATAAAATGCTGACTTTGTACAGGCAGATTTTTGGGGTTTTTTTAAGTAGTTAGTGTAAGGCAAGTCAAATATGACGGAATGAAAGCAGACGTTTCTGCCTCTGCCAGGCTGCTCCTTATTCTCCTGTACCATCCTCTTTTTGTTTCTAATCACCTGTAAGTCTTGTGCAATCGGATTTAATTTCCTAGACTTTTGCTGACTTGAGGGTGAACAACTTCAAGCTACCAGTCTTGAGGTCTTATTTTCTAAGCGGTGCTAATTTGGCAGGCTTCACAAGGTCTAGGATCGCTTATGATCCATATTTATTTGTGATTGTGCCGTAGGACTAAAGTTATTTAGAAGTTGTGAACTAACTTTTAAATTTTTCCTGGTCATTCTGCTCATCTCCAGGGCTTCCATAGTAGCCGTATTGATTTATTGCCCTATTAAGGTCATTAATGGCAGTCTATTAAAAGAGGCTACCTTGATCAGGCGGTTCATGCTCCGTGAACGTGCAGAAACTGTATTCCTTTGTTTGTCTTTTATCTTTACACTTGGAAATTTCTTTTAATGGTGTGGTATCCAATCTACTAAGTTATTGTCTCTGTAAAGGCTTTTGCTAATCGACTTTCACACTGCCATTAATAAAAGCAAACCTAGACTACGGCTAATAAGTATTCTAGATCCTCAAGAGTCATCCTCCTTGATTTACTCTTTCGCATTCATTTCATGCTTTCCAGTCTCTTTTTTTGCCCACACTCAAATAGGAAAAATCCGTGTGGGAAACCCACTCGGGACGGGCAGCAGACACCCACGCTCGAGGCCTGCTCGCTGCTGGCAGGTTGCACGGCGTTTTCAAAAGACGTTCGTATCTCTCCTTACCATCGTCTGCAGTCTTAGGGAGGGGAAAGCGCACCACTTCGCCGCAGCGCAGGCAAACCAGGTAAGTGGGCGGTCTGCTATCTTAGGAGGATCCGACTATCTGAATTTAAAAATAGTTTGCATACAACTCTGTGAAATGTTTTTTCCTGTTTCAGGAATCTACATAGACTCGGGCTTGATACAACACTTGACAACCGCGTCTAGAAGAGTGCCTAGGAACTAGGGTAAAATCAGTTCGGTTTATCTTGGCTATATGCCTAAATGATCTGAACTGAGGGAGGCGGCAAATCCATATTTAGACTCTTTTTAAAGCACGCCTTTCTTCCGGCAGCTCTTGAAAGCAACTGGCATCTCCTAAAGCTCTCTTGTTTTGTTCACCTCTCAGCGGCTTATGTGTCAGAATTGAAGTGACGTGATAAGCACAAAGACCTAAATTTGGGGGGGGAGGGGGGAAAAAAAAGAAAAAGGCCATGCACGTAGCCCATGCAAAGAGCAGAACTCCTTCACTCATGCAAGTGTTTTGTGAGCGCTCTTCACTAATTGCAATTAAAATCCATGTGACGGTCGCAGCCGGGCACCCCAGTCGGGGCTGGGGCTCTAGTGTGCTGGCGGCTGCTCAGACAAAGGCCAGATGCCCCGGACTGGGGCTCGCCGCGGCCGGCTCCGGCGTTCGCAGGGAGCCCCATTAAACTCGGCACGACCTGCCCGCGGGAACACGGTTTTGGGGCTCGAGCCAACTTGCACGGGGGAGACGTAATCACACGGAAACAATTTTTATACGTGCATTTTCTCTTATAAGAATTACTTAGCTTGTTCCGGTATGGCTGTCGATTAACTGGTTTGAATGACTGATCCCGAAATTTGTGATTTCAGTGCTTTTTTTTTCACGTAGTGATCTCACTATTTATTCTGTGTTTCGTGGGGAACGCACTTGCATTCAGTTTTTTCCTTATGATACAATCATAAGGAAATCATACGATGATGTGACCTGAACTGGCTTGCCACGGTATAGCTTTGCTTTTGCGGTAATTTGGATGCCTGCTTGTCTGCCTAAAATTTTTATACTACTTTCCAGTGGGAAACCGCGGCTTCCCACAGCAGGGGCTTAGATCTGCGGCGCTCTGCCTTGCTGGCTCATCTCTTCGTAGGGATAGGATATCCGACGAAAGAGGAAAATACTCCTGAAGAACATCTTGTGTTTCCAAACGATCTGGCGTATCCTTCCAGACGTTAGCTGGGCATCTTCCCACTGATTCCCCCCCCCCACCCCCACCCCCCCCCAAGCTCCAGA